AAAGCAAATTAACCCTGAGTAGACTACAAGGCCTGCCCAAAATATCCAGCAATTACACTGGGGAAGATTAAAGAAAGGCAGATATACAAAGGCTCCATAAAGCCAACAAAGGACAGCAGCTGAGGAGGAAAGGATGGTTTGTGTGTCTCTCTGTGCACGCACAAAGCGGAATATTTATCATCTCAGCTTTTCTTAAGGCCATAATGTAGCCCCTCGAAGAAAGATAGGGCCTCATTTGCATGCCTTTATTGGCATGCCAAGAGCAAGTGTGGTGTAGTGGTTAAGAGCAGTGGACTCGTAATCTGGTGAAGCAGGTTCGCTTCCCCGCTCCTCCACATGCAGCTGCTGGGTGACCTTGGGCCAGTCACACTTCTCTGAAGTCTCTCAGCCTCACTCACCTCACAGAGTGTTTGTTGTGGGGGAGAAAGGGGAAAGGAGATTGTTAGCTGCTTTGAGACTCCTTAGGGTAGTGATAAAGCGGGATATCAAATCCAAACTCCTCCTCCTCCTCCTCCTTCTTCTTCTTCTTCGTGGTCCAGTTTTTCAGAAGGAAGGAAGGAAGGAAGGAATGTAGCTTAGTGGTAGAACATCTGCTTTGCATGCAGAAGGTCCTGGTTCAATCCCCTGTATGTTGCAGTAGGGCTGGGAGAAACTTGAGTCCCCGCTTGGGAAAACAGCAAGAGATCAATATAATAATAATTAATAAATTATGGTGCTGGAGGAGACTCTTGAGAGTCCCATGGACTGCAAGAAGATCAAACCTCTCCATTCTTAAGGAAATCAGCCCTGAGTGCTCACTGGAAGGACAGATCCTGAAGCTGAGGCTCCAATACTTTGGCCACCTCATGAGAAGAGAAGACTCCCTGGAAAAGACCCTGATGTTGGGAAAGATGGAGGGCACAAGGAGAAGGGGACAACAAAGGACGAGATGGTTGGATAGTGCTCTCGAAGCTACCAGCATGAGTTTGACCAAACTGCGGGAGGCAGTGGAAGACAGGAGTGCCTGGCATGCTCTGGTCCATGGGGTCACGAAGAGTCAGACACGACTAAACGACTAAACAACAACAAAGTTCACCATGATAGCTAAAGTCCACTGATCTCATTGGGTCTACCATGAGTATGACTTGGTTGGGTACCACCCTTTATTTACAGAAACCGAAAAGGCCACACCGAAGGAAAGGAAAGAGCACTGTGCTGGTTCTGCTATGATATATATAATCTTTATTTTTTTAAAAAACACCCATCTGGCTGTATCCCAGTAGGGCTGGGTGGGGGAAGCATGGAATTACCAGAAAAGCAACTATAAAGACACCATAAATCAAACAGCATGGAGTTTAGAACTTCAAAAACGCAGAAATTTTCATCTATTATTGATTACGATAAAAAATTCTATCTCAGAATATTTTACACCACAACTGTTGCTGAGAGAGAGAGAGAGAGAAAGAATTCTAACTGAACTGAGAAACTACAGTATCAGAACCAAATCTAAGACCAGCCAATTCAGTCTGTGTTCAACTATATGAAAGTAACTGTACCATTCTTAAAGCAGTTTAGCTATGTATGCAGGGGTTCCTAAAAACAAACAAACCATTGGACTTCGCAGTTACATAATGTGTGTGCATTTAGCAGCTTTCCACTTTTCGTACAAAACAGCACTGTATACAAGTCTCCGTTCTAATGGTATATGATATTAGCTTTGTAGTGCTTGAGATCTAGGAAGGGAACGGTACAAATCAAAATAGCAGAAATACTCTAGAAGCATTAGAACTTAAGAAGAGCCTACTGGATCAGGCCAGTGGCCCATCTAGTCCAGCATCCTGTTCTCAGGTGTCTGAGGAGCAGAGCCCAAGAGACTGGGAGCCAGTGTGGTATAGTGGTTAAGAGCAGTGGACTCGTAATCTGGTGAACCGGGTTCGCATCTCCGCTCTTCCACATTCAGCTGCTGGGTGACCTTGGGCCAGTCACACTTCTCTGAATCTCTCAGCCTCACTCACCTCACAGAGTGTTTGTTGTGGGGGAGGAAGGGAAAGGAGAATGTTAGCCGCTTTGAGACTCCTTCGGGTAGTGATAAATCGGGATATCAGATCCAAACTCTTCTTCTTCTTCTTCTTCTCTTCCCTTCCCTGGTTTCCAGCAACTCGTGTTCAAAAGCATTGTTGTTGCTGTTTTTCCCCCAAGACGGCTTGAGCATATTACACCAATCCTGGTCTGACTGCAATGGCTACCAATTAGTTTCTGGGCCCAATTCAAAGTGCTGGTTTTGACCTTGTTGTTGTTGTTTAGTCGTTTAGTCGTGTCCAACTCTTCGTGACCCGATGGACCAGAGCACGCCAGGCACTCCTGTCTTCCATTGCCTCCCGCAGTTTGGTCAAACTCCCTATAATGAGAAGAAAATCCTTCTTTGGTGTCATTTCTAGAAGGTGTTGTAAGTCTTCATAGAATTGGTCAATTTCAGTTTCTTCAGCACCAGTAGTTGGTGCATAAACTTGGATTACTGTGATGTTAAAAGGTCTGCCTTGGATTCGTATCAAGATCATTCTATCATTTTTGAGATTGCATCCCAGTACAGCTCTTGCCACTCTTTTGTTGACTATGAGGGTCACTCCATTTCTTTTACGGGATTCTTGCCCACAGTAGTAGATACATTTTAGTTCACTGATGCCCAGGATGTCAGTATTTATTCTTGCCATCTCATTTTTGACCACATCCAGTGAACCAAGGTTCATGGTTCTTACATTCCAGGTTCCTATGCAATATTTTTCTTTTCAGCATTTGACTTTCCTTTCACTTCCAGGCATATCCGCAACTGACTGACCTTTCGGCTTTAGGCCAGCCGCTTCATCCGCTCTGAATCTACTTGTACTTGTCCTCCGCTCTTCCTCAGTAGCATGTTGGACGCCTTCCAACTTGAGGGGCTCATCTTCCAGTGTCATAACTTCTATATGCCTATTGTCTTTGTCCATGGAGTTTTCTTGGCAGGGATACTGGAGTGGCTTGCCAGTTCCTGCTCCAGGTGGATCACGTTTAGTCAAAACTCTCCACTTTGACCTGTCCATCTTGGGTGGCCCTGCACGGCATAGCTCATAGCGTCTCTGAGTTATTCAAGCCCCTTCGCCATGACAAGGCAGTGATCCATGAAGGAGGGTTTTGACCTATAAAGCCTTAAATGGCCCAAGACTGCAATACCTCAAGGATCGCCTCTTTCCATATGAACCTACCTGGCCCCTGAGAACATCTTCTGATGCCCTTCTCTGTGAGAGGTCCAGAAGGTGGTAACACAAGAACAGGCCTTCCCTGTAGTGGCTCCCTGTCTGTGGAATGCTCTCCCCTGGGAAGTTCACCTGGCGCCTTCATTATACACCTTTAGGCGTATAATGTTCCCTTTTAACCAGGCCTTGCGTTGATTTGATTGACATCCTATGCCCTTTTAAAATGTGGTGTTTTGGGGGAGAGGGGGTTATTGGGTTGTTGTTTATTTTGATTATATATTTTGTGGTTTTTTATTTTTATTTTGTTCTGTGAACCGCCCTGAGACCTCCGAGTATAGGACGGTATATAAATTAAATAAAGAATAATAATACACCACCATCATTTATTTACGTATTTATCATAGACATGCCAAAATGGCTTCTAAGAGGTTACATGTCAACCCAAGGAAGTTTTAGCTGAGTTCGTTGTGAGGATTTCAGTACGAGGGACCTGAAAAATGAGCATCAATAACTGAATGCTCACAAACAGGATCAAAGCCATGTTTGATGTTGTTATTCTTTTTTTAATACTGTGTTTCAAGGTTGCCAGTTGTGTACTTGCGATTCCCTCCCCACCCAATCTGCAGTTTCTCCCAACCCAGGTAATTTTGGACTCCCAGTAAAAATATAGGATGTTAGCCGACGCTAGTCCTGTTCAGAATAGACACAATGAAGTTAATAACCATGACCAACCTAGACTTATTGATTTTAATGGCTCTGTGCTAAGTCTACAACCCTTGTTGTCTCAGTCCGGATGCCTCAACAAATAAGGAATCAATCAAACTGTTGCATTAAAAAATAATAATCAGATGGCAATATGAGTTTGAAGTAGGTAGAAAAACCTGTGTTTCTTAACTGTTACTACAACGCTAAATGTTTTAGCATTTTGAAAATGAACATAACACACACAGATTTATTATCTCTGCGAAATATTACATAAGGAGGAGGATTAAACTTTAAAAGACGCTGCACCCTTCACTACCTCAGATGCGTTTCAACTTCTGAGGAAACACAACATGCATAATTTAGTTCTTAAACCAGAGCATCTATTGTGAAGCAGAACTTGCATCAAGCCAAACTGTTTTATTTATTGATACTGAGGGCACAAGCCACACACACACACACAAAGAGAGAGAGAGAGAGAGAGAGAGAGAGAGAGAGAGAGAGAGCGCCGTGCAATGGAATCAACATAAGGGATTGATGCAAGACTGAGTGGTTCCATCTTCCATCCTTAGCAGGGCTTGTGCCACGGGACAGCAAAGAAGAGTAACTTGTGGTCTGAGGTCCTGGGTAAGGGGAAAGGAAGGTGAAATATACTCGGAGTTGAGTGCGGATTTCATGCTCTTTATTCAGCTCATAGTAGTGAGGAATGAAAGTTTCCCCAAAATATCTGCTTTATATGCCTTATTTACACAATGGTCCCTACGTGATTGGCTAATTCCTGGCTTCTCCTGTAGGCCAATCAGGTTGCGGATTCACTTCCACCTGGAGCTGGATTGGGTGGCTCCTGCAGACCAATCACACTGCTGCATTGTTCTAGGACCAATCAGACTGCTGCATTCTGAATCCTATTGAACTCAGTACATAACAGAAGGGAAGCACAGGAACCCAGGAAGCAGTCGTACACGATTGTCAGACCATTGGTTCCATCTGGCTCAGTATTCTGTACACTGACTGGCAGAGGCTGTCCAGGATTTCAGGCAGGAGTCTCTCTCTCTCTCTGTGTGTGTGTGTGTGTGTGTGTGTGCTACCTGGAGATGCCAGGGATCAAACTTGTGACCTTCTGCACCCAAGGCAGATGCTGTACCACTGAGCTACAGCCCTTCTCAATATTTTGTCCTACTGCCGCCCTGCTCCTCCCATAAAGCAACACCATAGGAAAGGAAACAGCACTACAGCTTTTCATGCACTAGGTAGTTCGCCTTAAATAATCATGTTCGGGGTATGGAGAGGGATCACTTCCGCAGAGCCATTCTTCTTTCTCACTGAAGAAACGAGAAACGCTTTAAGGTGCCGAGCCGCAGGGATTGTGCTGGAAACTCCATGGCAATTTAAGTTATAGTTGTCAATAGCACACAGTTGACTATATTCACAGGAGGTGGAAGTGATGATATTGTAATAATACTCTCTGGCACCTGTATTGGATTTTCCTTAAGCTAGCAATTACTATTGAGTTTTATCCAACTGCTTCGTCGAATGACACCGAGTTGCTTTCACTAGGTGCCTTGCAGTATTCGTATAAAACATTTAGCACATGTGCAAAAATGCAGACAGGTAGAATGGTGGTCACAAGATGCCATCTTATGGCCTGATTACATGAGCCAACTCACTGAAATTGATCTTAGAGATGGTGAACATGATTTATGGAGCATGTATGTATACAGTTTGCAGAAGGGTGGGAACCCTTTTTGAGCCAGAGGGTCACATTCTGAGGGCTACATGCAAAAGCTGGTGGAATGTGACTTTTTCCTTTGTTCAGTAGCCTAGTTTCGAAGACCTCCCCTCCATCCTCCCTCCAAATAAGCAATAGATATCAGGCTCTGGGGTGCGGGGTCCTGAGGTTCTATTTAAAAAACAAGGCAGACCCTGAAAGCCTGAATTCTACCCATCCTTGCCTTACATATGACAGCCACCAACATCCTAAGTAAAAGTGTTATGTACTGAGTTGAATAGGATCCAAACTGCAGCAGTCTGATTGGTCCTAGAACAATAGGATCCAAATTGCAGCAGTCTGATTGGTCCTAGAACAATAGGATTCAGAATGCAGCAGTCTGATTGGTCCTAGAACAATGCAGCAGTATGATTGGTTGGCAGGAACCACCCAATCATGCTCCAGATATAAGTGAATCCACAACCTGATTGGCTTACAGTAGAATTCCAGAATTAGCCAATCATGTGCAGCCCATTGTGTAAATAATGTATATAAAGCAGATACTTTGAGGGGACTTTCATTCATTCCTCCTCACCACTATGAGCTGAATAAAGAGCATGAAATCACTTTGCGACTCTGAGTATATTTCAAAAAGCATCTATCTTTATATTATGCATAGTTTGCTGTTTTCAAGAACTGACGTATTTCCAGGAGTGTGTTGTGCTGGTGGGGTTATGTACTGTGCTTACACAAATCTGCTCCTCTTGCTGCCTTTAGGAGAAAATTTTGGGTGTGACTCTGCTATGGCTACTACTACAGTGGAACCTCTGGATGCGAATGGGATCCGTTCCGGAGCCCCGTTCGCATCCTGAAGTGAACGTAACACGTGACTGCGTGTGCGCAGGTCGCGTTTCGCCACTTCTGCGCATGCGCGTGACATCATTTTGAGCATCTGCGATTGCGCGAGCGGCAAAACCTGGAAGTAACGCGTTCCGTTATTTCCGGGTCGCTGTGGAGTAAAACCCAAAAATGCTTAACCTGAAGCATATTCATCCCGAGGTATGACTGTATTTCATTAATTAATATGCTGCATAATGCCCACAAGGCTTCCAAGCAGTTTACAAAACGTAAAAGCCAACTGCACAGCACAGGGCTTATCCAGGGCTATTTTTCTAGAAAAAGAGGTGCCAGAACTCACTATGAACACCACCCTCATTCTCTTAGAATGGCAATGGCACTCACCAGAGAGGTGCCAGAACTGAGTTACTGTGAGTTCCCCCTGGGAAAAAAGCCCTGAACTTATCCACTCTTACTGTACTTTTTGCCTCGCTCTTTCCAAGCAGAGGTCTGCACTTACTGTAAAAGTTTCATTTCTGTGCCTTTTTCTTTGCTTGTCCTGAGCTTTCCCTGTGAAAAGCTGCTCTTTAAAGCTCAATTGGAGCAAATGTCAACTCAAGTTTTCCATGGATTGGCATTTGCCCTGACTGAGCTTTAAAGGATGGGTTTTTTCCCAGGGAAAGCTCTGCAGCTTAAAAGAAAGGTGCTCAGAAATAGAGCTTTTAAGCATGGATCACGCCTGGAAAAAGCAAAGGGAAGCTATGTGTGGACAAGCTGATAAACACTGAATATTTTTTTAAAAACACCATAGTTTTTTTAAAAACACCATAGTTTAAATACACAATAAAGCCACCCCATTAAAACATTAAAATATGTTAAGTTATATGGCTTTAGTAGAAATATATTAAGTTATATGGCTTTAGTAGAAATGTTATAAGGAATTAAGTATAAATAGATTAATAGAGTATTAAAGGGAAAAATAAGGTTAGAATGTGTTAAGATAATTATAGGATAGAAAGCAGAGGAAGATGGAAAGGAATTGCTGAAACAATTAATAGAAGTGGAATACAAAAAGGGAGGTGTGAGGAGGTAATTGAAATAAGTGAATGAAAGATAAGATATTGAAATTGTTTGATGTGTTTTAAACTGTTTTTGTTCTGTTTTGTTTTGTTAGTTTAATGTGTTAGTGTTATGTAGTGTTTTTGTATTGTATTGTATTGTTCTTTTTTTGTAGTGTTTAAATTGTTGGAAAAGTAATAAATATTATTTTCAAAAAACAAGCAAACATTAAAATATGAACATTTGTGATTTAAATATAAAGGTAAAAAAGAGGTATAGGACCCCTGGGTGGTTAAGTCCAGTCAAAGGCAACTATGGGGTTGCAGTGCCCATCTTGCTTTCAGACCAAGGGAGCTGGTGTTTGTCCACAGACAGTTTTCTGGGTCATGTGGCCAGTGTGACTAAACCGCTTCTGGTGCAACGGGACACCGTGACAGAAGCCAGAGCGCATGGAAATGCCATTTACCTTCCTGCCACAGCGGTACTATTTATCGACTTGCACTGGGGTGCTTTCGAACTGCTAGGTTGGCAGGAGCTGGGAGAGAGCAACAGGAGCTCACCCTTTTAAATATACAACACAACAATCCCATCCAAAGAGTGCAGCAATTAAAACAGGAGAGTCTGGTCAAAAGATCAAGGAAATTACAGCATGAACAAGTGTGTTTTCAAAAGCCAATGGAAGGCCAGTGCAAATGGAGCCTTCTTGTATTTCAGAAGGGAGTGTATCCCACAACACCAGTGAAAAAGCCTACCTCCACATCACCACAAGGCAGTAATAATCAGGTTGTGATATAACTAGCCAGATTCCATTTGCTCTACAGGGCAAGACATACTTGGTACCCCTGCAACATGCTTCCAAAGTATGGCATCCCATAAGCACAAGAATTTATCATTGTACAACAGGAGCACACACCCCATGCCCAATGTCCCCTAAATCCGTTATTGGGATTCGCCCAGCCCTTCAGAGCAGATTTTGATAGGCATGGGGCATGTACAGTGGGAGGAACAGGGTAGAAGTCCCATTGCACAAGCAGAAATCCTTGCGCTGATGGAGCCCATTTGCTGGATACTGCCCATTCCTAATATATCATTGCTTGTGATCTCTCAGACTACTTCCAGTTTAGTTGGCTCATAAAGCCAGGCTGTAAGATGGTATCTTGTGACCACCATTTTGCAGCTGCATTTTTGTACAGATGCTAAACTTTATTTCATGAGGGCTGCAAATCAACTATTGAAAACCACTCAGTGTCACTCGCTGGTTCCTAGTCTCAGTCTGCATTTCTCTACTGTTACAACTTAAGGATAACTGTAGTTAGACTGCCAATTTTCACCTCCAGAGTACAATTAATAACTTCATTGGCTGGATGTCCAATGATCAATTTGCACCTTTAAAGATGTGCGAGTTTTGTCACCTACATTGTTCAGCTTCTGGGCATTTCAGTAAAATCCGTGTACATATTTGGCTGTACTCAAATGTGCCATATGACTGGTGTCTTGCCAATGTGGGAAATTTTTCTATCTCCACCCATATGTAACTTCTTCATTTGAAAAATTGCCCTTTTCTATAAAGCATTTCTGGCAGAAGTAGTGGAAAATTAGAGTTTATAACCATGAGGTAAATTAAAACGACTGTGCCTTTTTTGTTTTCTCTGTTAGTAATATTAAGAGAGAGAGAAATTACAAATCAGTCATGATTGTATATTACACCAATGTCTCCCACAGGGCCAGCCCTACTGTTAGACATTTCATGAAAGGGCAGCAAATTGTGAGTTATTTTATTTAATTTATTATTGCGTTTTCACTCCCAGGGAAATAAGGTTATGGGAAATAAGTTTGTTACAACCCCCTCTGCCTAGGATTCTCCACGAGGAACAACTTCTTCCTGAAGTTGCCAGGATTTGGCTTGCACCCTTACTTAGTCATTGCATCTGTTGCTATTCATTGTCTGCCTACATAACTTTTTTGCTGCTATCAAAAGTAAGTAGTTCAATAATATTAAGGAGTCAAAGTTCATCCTGAATCCTGTCATGAGGTCCAAAAAATATCTACATGGTGCCTAGGGAACAACTTGCACCTTAATATCAGCAAGACAAAGGAGATGGTGTTGGACTTTCGGAGGAAGAGAGGAGAACTAGCCCCGCTGTACATTGGGGAGGGTTGTGTGGAGAGAGTCTCTTCCTTTAAATTCCTAGGAGTTTATCTCAGTGAAAACCTTACTTGGAAAATCAATACAACCCAGGTGGTTAAGAAAGCCCAACAGAGACTCCATCTCCTCAGAGTATTGCGGAAGAATGATGTCAATCAACATTTGATGATCTCCTTCTACCGGTCCACAATAGAAAGTGTCCTTTCATACTGCATCACGGTGTGGTACGCTGGTGTGACATCAACTGATAGGAAGTGCCTACAGAGGGTGGTGAATACAGCACAAGATACTTTGGGCTGTCCCGTAAATTCCCTGGATGAAATAGCGGAAGAACGCTGCCTCAGGAGAGTGAGGAAAATTCTCAGGAATGATTCACACCCTGGCCAGCATTTTCTTGATCTCCTGCCC